GGGAAACACACTATGAATTTGGGTGCCTGCATAAGTGCATTACAACCAATTAATTTTACATTTATGTTATAAATATTCATGATTTTACACAAATTTAAATGATGATTAAGCATACAATAGTAATGCTACCATGTATTTACAGAATATTTGTCCAAACTGAATGATTTCACTCACACTTTTATCTTATCCTTCCACAATTTCTCACAGTAATAACTTTTTCCTGACCTCATCAGCAACAATGTTTTATTGTTGCTGATGAGGTCCTAAACCTCTTGCTCACACACACTGATGGCCACTAAAAGACTTTAACTCTTTCATTTATACACTTTGTAACTAATTTGCCTGTATAGCAAAGGTCTTTGTCCGTTTGGAAGAGATATTTATGCCCAGGATCCCAATTCCTGGCTGATGGCTTGAAATGTTGCTTTGATTTTTTTTCACATCACGTTCTTTCATCAGGAGGCCATCTGTTTTCTGAAGTTCACCAGTCCCTCCTGCGGCAAAACACCCACACTACCTAATGTTGCCAGCTATGTACTGCACAATTAGGAGGTTGTTCTCGGGCTTTTCCACTACAATGTAATAATAGCTACAGTCTGACCAAACATGTCAACTTTGGTTTCATTGCACCTTTGGACATGTCTTCAAAAAATGCACCTGAAAGCTGTAATTTGGCATTTAATGTTACTTTTGGAGTGCTGGCTTCTTCTTTACTGAGGGGTCAGAATATGTTGGTGTCTGAGACAAGGGGCCCCTCATCTTCCTGAATGGTACAAAGACTAGATATTCCTATAGATTTTGAATAAAGGAAAGTGTAATCTACTGGTGATCCACAACGCTCTTCCTGATATTCTTGGCTGATTTCTTTAGATTTTTCCATTATGTCACACAAGCAAGTCATGTTTTAGATATATTGCCTTGAAACACATCCACTGGTGTACCTTGAATAACTGATGCTATAGATCAGAAGCCGTGACATCATATAAATGTTCATCTTAATGAAGACTGTAACAAAATGACAGCAATAAATACCAATAAATTTAAAAATATGATTAAGTGCAGTTAGTGTGTGCAGTTTAAATCACACTTTTTTATTTGACTGGTGTCCTATCGAAGCATATTACAAATGGGTATGTTTTCCAAGAGCACTGTTACTGTTTATGGAGCTATGTTTGTTCTGACATGCAGTCACTGCCATGAAGCTATCTAAAAAAGAAGGAATAAATAGTTATTTTCTTCACTTTTATAGTTATCACAATAGTACTACAGAATATCACGATAAAAACCTTTAACGGTTTGGTCATCACAAGAGAGTAATATAGAAATGTCAAACATCTTTCTGCACTTTGACCTTGTGCAAAAATTTCTAACGTAACAAAGGGAAGATTAAACATTTTATAAAATATATTTTTTGTCAATATGTTGGTTCTCTTAGGCTGTTTTAAACGTAACAATTTCTGTTAATCCATCTTTAAACAGAAAACAGATCTAGTACCACCCCTAGTGTGGCATTGGAACCGACTTGATTCATTGCGTCTCTTATTGAATTGCTTTCTTTAAGTTATTCTGTAAAGTTGAGACTTAAACTGTTTGGAGATCAGCGTTTGTTGATCAACGTTAGAAACACCAAGCACCCGCCAACGTGACTAACATTGTTCCTTCTTGTTTTGTGAACATTATTTGCCTCTTTGTATTGCCACAGTCAAAGCGGCTGGTCCACACCTCGGTCATGTCCCCCGCACCATCTCCATCACATGTCCTTATCGACATTTCAGAAGCTGTTCCATTTACTGTATTCTTTCAATGGCTTATTTGTTCCCTCGATTTCTAGGTCAGATCACACACACTCACACACATCTGTGCAGAAACCACCACTGAGTATGCTTTTAACAAGCTACGGACAACAAAGCCTGCTCTCTAAATTTGCATTAAGCAGTAGATGAGAGCGCTCACTCGTGCTGCTGAGACTCAACAGCTGACTCAGGAGACTGTCTCCGTGTTGGAACAAATCTTTCTAATAACCTGTTTCAGTGGGTAGATAAAACGGAGCCTTGACACTGTGATGATAATAATGGCTTTGAGTTTTAATGAGACTCGTATCAAAGAGCACCATTGTTATTAACACCGAAAGTCTCCTTACCCTTACATCCAAATGGCATCATTACCCTCTTGCCCCTACCTGTTTGGAGAGTTTTAAGGCTAATTCATCCAAAATGAAACAAATCTTTACTGCCGCGGGGGTTTCAGTCTGCAGCTGTTAAAGGCACAAGTTTCTCGCAGCTCTGCTTCTGAGGCAGGATTTCGTGCGGTTGAGTCATTCTCGTTTAGCGCTGATTGTGCATGTTGAACGTATGCTTTTATTTTAATCAGATGCCACTTCATGTCAGCCACACTTGACATGCGGCAGTTTTTAAATTGAAAAATAAATTGTTTTGATGAAATGTTAAAATGGTTTGTTTTTACAAGTCAAGTTTCTCACTATACATATTAACAATTATTTGTATCGAACAATCTTAAACCCTGTCATAAGATTTTTTTTACTTTATAAAATAGGTTCCTTAACATTTATTTAGAGACCGTTTTTAATAGGCTGTTATATTCCTGTGAAGGTTGTTTCCAACAGATGTGTAGAACTGAATGGTAGAATAACCTGAACTCCAATTCAGCTTTAAGCTTCTCATAACTACTCAGGTTTTCTTTGTTTGTTCACAAGGCTAAAAAATTGAAGGTATAAAACTCATAAGTCCTTTTCAATACTAGTGAGCTGGGTTTAATTTATTTTAAAAAGCATGCAGGTAATTTTTGTGTAAACCAAGCCTAATTTTTACAACATCTGTTTTTTTTTAAATGCCATAGTTCATTTTTTAGACAGATAGTTATCCCACACTGGGAACAGCTGTCGTAAACAGACCACCTGAATCCAAACTTTGAAGAAGATTTATTAAAAATTTGCAAAGTTCTTTGCTTTAATTTTGTTACTGAATATAACAATTTTCCAACTGTGTTGCATCTAAGAGACGTTGACATAGTGATCCATGTATGAGTGATTTGCATGAACTCATTTGCTCAGTTTTGCACCATGTAATTTCAATCAACTGAAGAAAAAACATGTCTGAGTTTTTTTTCACCTGCGATTATTAGTTTTTTTCACGGAGGACACAGATGTGCAGAAAAGCACAATGAAGAAGTATACGGAAGAGATTTTCTCTTTGTACAAACAGAAATACCGAAAGAAGAAGTTATTAGATCAATACTATTTTTAGTTTATTTGACAAAACCTAAAATAAAGCAAACCGGAATCTAATAAAATGGAATCTTGTAGACCTCAAACATTTTGCGGTTCTGAGTTTTTTGTTCCTCATTTTATTCCTTTTTTAACACACCCCTGGTTCCTGACTATGAACTGGTCTGTCTGTAGATTTATTTATCCAGCTCCTTGAGGAAATTATTGAAATATAGAAATAACTGCTGACTGAGTCTTCTAATCCCAACAGCATGATGGGATTTTCACATAACTTGAAACTTGACACCGAACTTTCCCAAATAGTAAATTTACTTCTTGATTTGAGAACGTCTACTCTGAAATGTTTAGTTTTATTCATTAATAGCGATGGGATATTTTTTTTACCATTTTCCAGATTTGTTTTATTTCGTATCACCATTGTAGGCTGCTCTGGACCAAAGCTTTTACTGGGACCACAGTAGATGTTCTCTCTCCAGTTAACAATCCAGTTTGTTGTGAGGATTTATCTGCTTGGTCAAGGGCCCACAAAGTAAAGCTACTTAACAGCAAATCTTGTTTAGCAGAATCCTCTCAAAATAAGAGCCTCTCTATCTGGTGCTCTCCTCTCCCTCCTCTTCTCCTGCCATCTACCTGCGGTGCTAGCTGAGATGCTAATGCCACCTTATAGCTTTAGCTGGCTTTCCCATTCCATTTGTACAAAATGTCAATAAGTATGAAAAAAAAAAAGATATTGCATTTTTGGGATATATTTCTATAACATTTGTTTACAATTAATCTATTTTTTTGCCGTTGTGCTTTCTTTCCTTTCTCTTATGTCCTTTTTATTTTTCCCTGTGTCCTTTTTTATCTTATTTTTTATTTTATACTTTCCCTCTTTTTTAGTTTTATTCCTATATTTCATTCAATACTTTTTCTGTCTTCATTCACTTCTCCTCTTTCCTTGTCTTTACTTCCGTTCCTTATCTCCTTTCTTTACAGTCTGTGGTTTTCAAGACTTTTATATTTAATGTTTGCCAATTGTACAAAATCTGCCAGGAATTTAAAATAAACTTTTTTATATATTTTGTGCATCAATATGATATTAGCAACTGAGAACTAAGGTAATTTGACTTTGGAAAAGTGTGGAATTTTAAATGAGAACATGTTGGAACTCTTCATGACTTAATACCAGTTTACTAGCCCATGCCTTCTTCTGATTTGGAGAGCACGTTTGAAAACAAGCAATTTTCTTATGTACCTACCACATTATGTTCACATTGCTAAGGATGGGTGATTAATTTTGATGTCTTTGATTTCAAAGCCGTCATAGTTTACAAGCGGAATCTTTAATTTCCTCACCTTTTTAAGCCAAGACCTCCACGGAGGACTTCCAGGGTGAGCAAGGGCAGTTTGGCTGGTAATAACTTGCTTTCACGTGGGAGGCTGATGTTACAAATGTTGACCTGAGAAATCAATCAAGGTTTATCAGAGGTCACTTTTTTTCCCACTTGTAGAAAATGCCTCCAGAAAAATCTGTTTGATGTCATCATTTGGGTCAAATTGTTCATCTAACCTTAACAGCTTCCTTTTTAATTCAATGAACAGTGTAGGAGTCCGTACATATGGTGCAGTCAAGATGTTCATTTGTGTTTGAGCACTGAAAATGGCCTGAAAAGTGGTGTTGGAAAGTAAAAAGCGGTGATAAGAAATGTGCATGATAATGAAATGTAAATGTGCCTCCTCCTTCTCCTCCTCTACCCTTTTCTGACCGCTTCAGACGTTGCGAAAGAAAGGCTTTAATGGCTGCAACAGCCCCGAGCCCGACGGCGACGACTCCATCGACCAAAGTCCGCTAAACGATCGCAAGGCCGACGACCTGGACAGCCTCTTCAAACGCTATGGCGTGAGTACCGTCACACCTTTGTCACCTTTTCTAACCTACTCTTTCTGTTCTCTTTCTCTATCTGCCGTCTCCTCTGTCTCTATTTTTCTCTCTCTCTGTCTTTGTGGCCTCTACTTCTGTTGTACGGGGAACGAAGGCTCTGAACAAGAAAGAGCACCGGGACTCTGAGAGCCCAGACCCCGAGGAGCCCTTCTCCCTCACCCCCCGCACTGAGGAGAAATACAAAAAAATTGACGAGGAGTTTGATAAAATGATGCAGAACTATAGGCTGTCAGTGAGTACCTCCCACCATTCTGTGCAACCCAGCCCCCCTCCTCATGTTGCTGCTGCTGCTGACCGGAAATAAAGTCTCCGGGTGCTAAAGGCGGTCTGAATACTCACAGAGCACTTGCCTTTCCTATATCCCCTCAACTCCTTTTACCTTCTCCACCTCACTTATTACCAACAATCACCTCTCTCCACCCTAAAACCACCGCCCTTAAGCCGTTATCCATCATGGTGTTGTTGAAAAAGAAACCCAAGGCAGAGCAGTCAAATCTAACTAACAACTGTTGTTTTTAGCTGAGAAGTATTAATTTAAATATTTTTTTCTTTAGGTTCAAGCTGTTTTAGTGTGCCCCCCCTACTAATGTTGCTGTCACAGGGTGTCTGTGCATCCCTGTAAATGTTTTATAATGTCTTAAATTCTTTGGAATAAAATCTATGCAGGCCTTAAATACATAATCACAGATCTTAAATTTTGTTGTTGCAAGATTATTTAATCTCATATATTCTATGTTGTTTTTTTCTTCTCTCATGGTGCGTTTCTATCAGGCAAAAGTTTGAGTTGCACACAGATATCTTCATGTGACTCGAGGCAGCCGATGCTACTAGTAACTCACTGCTAATACACCCTTTGCTAGCTAGCTAGATAGTCAGCTAGATAACTAGGGTTTTGGTGTTCATCATCTTTTGTCTTCGCCACTGGTTCACTTCTGTTGCCAACTCATATGAAACTAGTTACATTCTGTGCAAAAATAATTTTAAGATTGGATGTAGAGAGCCGTATGCAGCGTGAAAAATGCAAAGCTGCTGGCAAGAGCCATATACGGACGCTGTGATTTCTTTTGGTCTTAAATTTCATTCAAGATGGCATTAAGAAAGTCTTAAAAAGTCTATTTGACTTGTTGACACCTGGATATACCGTATGTTACCTCTAGACCATTTCCCAAAAAAAAAATGCTGGTTTAGATTGCAAATATAATTTTTTACAAACCAATTTTTTCCCTTGTAATAAAATGCAACCCATTTGTAGTGCTGTAAACGTGACAATACGGCATTAAAAGGTCGTAAAACAAGTGATCTCAACACCAAATGCCAGATGTTGTAATGGGATTATTCATCTCTAGTCACCACCGTGAAGAGCAACCTTAGTAGTATTATTGCTGTAAAACAGTTTTAATGTCTTTGCAAGTTCTCTTAACTATGAGAAACTGCAAAAGAGAGCGAGAAGCGTTAACTAGGTCTCTGGTTTTCATAAAAGCTGGCATAGCAACTGGAAATTGCAGGGGAAAATCATCTTTTATGGGAATAATCAACATGTTGAGAGCATGCCTTTAAGCAGTCCGATTTCTTGCCTGAAAATGGGACTCGTGTAATAATCCGCAATATTAAAGAAAGAATTGTGTGACTTCAGACACAAAGCGCGCACCACAGTTTAAAAAGCCAGAGAGGTTGCAGTTATTATCTGCCGGATGTTAACAGTATTAGTGAGGTCAGTTAAGACTGTGTGTAGTTCTGCGTCTCTGCCTGGATGTGCGCCTGACATTATCCAGGTTCTGCCTCCTGACTGGCACGCTGCCAAACCCCTTTTACCGCTCCGCTCCTCTGCCAACTTCCCTGTGATTCATTTTTTTTCCCCCCTGTGCTCAATAATGCAATTAATGTCATTTTAATGAGGAGCATTTAATTTACAGCCCCTCTTACTGTCTGCCTGCCTGTCTGATTGGTCACTTGGGAGGAGACTCAGTCACGTTTAGGTGTTGCAGAAGAGTTGGACCAGTTTGATCTGGGTAGAAAAGTTCTCCTTTACTTTCTCTGCTCCGTAATTAACTCGGAGTGTTAATTATACATTTATATCAGAATAACAAAGTTGCTCAAAGTAACAGTTTTTTTCTGGATTCTTGAACAGTGGCCTTCAAAAGTATTTATACACTTTGAAAATTATCTTAAGTCAAACACATCCATAAGCTTTATGTTATGTGAAGAACAAGACAAAACTAATGCATAATTTCGAAGTGGAAGTAAATGAATGAGTTTGAATTTTGATTCGGCGCCCCAGAATTAGAACTTTATAGAACCAGGTGTTTTTTGGTGGAATCTGTCTTCTGTTTCTGGAAGCTGGCATGTTTGCCTGTACTGCTTTGCAGACATAATTCTAGCTCAGTCAGGTTGGATGGAGAACATTTGTGAAGAGCAGTTTATAAGTCTTGTCACAGATCCTCAATTTGTTTTAGATCTGGATTTTGACTGGACCATTTGTAACCATGTCCATGTAACTCTGTGGAACGGCTGTATTTTTAGGGGTATTGTCCTGCGGGGAGGTAAACCTCCAACCCAGTTAGTATGCTAACATCCAGTTAGTATTTTTAGACCTTCAACAAGTTTTCTTCAACTGCTCCACCCATTGTTTCATCAACTCTAGTCAGCAGGCAAAAAGTATCCTGCTGCTTCTTGATTGGCTGCTTTGCAAATTCCAGCCAACAGCATGTCTAGTAGCATTGTGTTTAGATAGTTCATCTTACCAAGTTGCGTTTTCTTCCAAATATTTTAATGCACTGTACGAAAAAATCTGTGACTAGGCAAATTTTGTGCAAGTTATTTGGAGTTCCAGTACGTTCCACCAATACTGAACCACATATAGGTGGAGGTGCTCTGCATCATAGAAAAGGATATTGAATATAGATGCACAACACATCTGCACAACCTTTGGAAATCTTTGACATTTACTATATTTTTTTCTTTAAGTCAATTCAAGTTTATTTTTATGGCACATTTCAAACTAAGGCAGTTAAAAATGCTTTACATAATAAAAACATCATACTCTTATCAATTACACATTTCCTTTTACATCAAGAAATGTAAAAAAAAAATGTCTCCTAGAACATTGATATTCTTGAAAGGCACCATATAAGCCATGTATTGACAATTATGTCTCAATGTTGATGATAAATAAAAAAAAAGTAAGAAAAGCCTGTTGAGAAGCCTTCTCATTGGTTGAGCTCATCCCTGATTAGAGCACCTCTCAGTTTAATCAGTTCAATGAATTTTTGTCCTCCTGACTTTGACTCAACCTCTCTGTGCTGCCTGAGCCGAAATGGCTCTTAAAGGCTTTTCTCTGAAGAGAGAGGCATGGCAGGAGAAGAATAGCATTCAATCTACCACCCTTAGAGATGTGCAGCTCTCCGTGCGCATTGATTGCCTTCTAGTCAGGCGTCACTGGACTGGCCACCGCCAGCCTTTCTGCGTACCTGTTTCACTCAACTCACCTTTTAGGGGCGGCAAGCAAACTGGAGAATTCAGCCTCACCCGCCATTCCTCCCCTCTTCGACATAATCCCCTGCATGACAGCTAGGGGCCGGGATATACATGCTTAATCCCACTTGTACTAAAATGCCTCCCGAGGCAGCGAGAGAGTGGTGAGGCAGAACAGGCAGGACACTTGGCTCGAGGAGCCCGGAGCTAACGTATCTGTTCCCGTTAGTTTGGCAATGTGGTAGGCGAAATAAAAAAAAAAATAAAATAAATAAAGGGAGGCTTTTTTCGTCCGACGGCTCTCTGATTTGAGCCTTTTTCTGGTTCTGTGATTCAGAGTTTCTAAATTGAATAAGAAATAGATTTGTTCCTTTTTACAACCGCCTCCATAGTGCCCTTGAGCAAGGAGCTGAATATCTTGACTCACTAACGGCTCTGTATAGATGCAAAGTGAAACACAATAAAACTGACACTCCTGCATATTAAATCACATGAAATTTCATATTCAGATGTTTAACAGAACATAGTCTTTTTCATAAAGTAGCATTCGTAGTGGTAAATCTAAGAAACTATATTTTAATTCTATGTAAATGTATTTTTTTTTTCTCTCTGCAAAGTCAAAATCTCCTACAATTAATTTTGAGAGATCCAGATAAAACCTTTAAGTTTCGTAAAAGCTTACTTAATATTAGTGAGTAAAATAAAAGCTGATCTCTCTTTCAGACCTTAATTTGCAAACAGAAAAGAACAAATGCATTCATATATATTTTCACAATAAAATCTTAAAAAGCTTTGAGGACAAAAGAGAAGCGGGAGAACTGGGCCGTGAGTTTAATTCATTCTGATTTAACCTTGCATCCTGTAAACACGCCCTTGTTGAGAGAACTCCTACGAGGCAGAATAGGTTAGATTTCTCTCCCTTGTTTTTGTTCATTTCTCACAGACGAGGCCTTGAGCTTTTTCACATGAGCCTCCAGAAAATCTCCTGGTCAATTATTTACCTAGCAGGTTTATTTTTTCCTCCTCAGTTCCCATCCTTCACCCTAAATCTGTAAGAGGATGGACGTCATTCCTGCTAACCCTCCCGTCTGCATTCGGGAGCATTGATTGTAAATGTGTTGGAGTGGGAAAACGTGAACTAATTGGTTTGGTTTAGTTGGTTTCCATGTAACAAAGTGCATAAAAAGTCACAAGACAAGTTAAAATAAACATTTACAAGACGTGTGTAGAGATTTTGAAGTGAGGTCATCAGTAAGATCATTCTGCATGTGGTTGAAAGGAAAGATCACCTGATGGGGAAATAGTTGGGATTTGATGAAAATGGGGCATTTTTCATATGCATTTTAATTATTTTTAGTTTTCCAAGGTCAAATCAGGCCCAAAAAGTGAACAGTCAGTAGTAAAGTTTGCAAATAAGTTTGAAAAACAGAAGGAATTTGATGGAGGCTTGACTGATCAGTTTTAATCTTTGCTAGTCAATTCATTTTCCATTTAGAAATTATTTCTCCTATTGTGCGTTTTTTTTTTTTTTTTTTTTACATGATGTTCCATCTCTTACTTGATGAATAAAGTAAATTCTCCTTGCAAATCCAGCTTAATTTTGAGGTAATTTATGTGTTTCAGTATGATTGTCTATTAAAAATAAGAAACCTTTTTAAATTAAAATGCTTTCTACTGATTCCATCAATAATAGAAATAAAAGAAAAACACCCCCTCGCCCTCTACTCCGGAGGATAAATAACTTCCAGTCCTGCCTCTGTGTTTACTCACCTCCACCCTCTTTGCATTGACCCCCTCCCCCCCTCCCACCTACCCACGCCATTAATCCATCCTTTCCCTTCACCTTCTGCTTGGCCAGTGTGCAGTGCTGCAGTGCTCTCAGCTGCTTTCTTCACCATCCCAGGTCACCACCTACGGTTCTGTTTGCACATTCCCTTTGCAGATCTCCACTTTGCAGCCTAATTGGTACATTCAAAGCTATCTGTTGGGGGTTTACTGGTATATGGCAACCTTTGGATTAGATCTGCGGCCCTAAGACTTAGACATAGGAAAAGGAGTGATTCTTGGCTTTACAGGCCTAAAATTTTCCAAGTGGATATGACCTTTTATTGGATTGTAGTTTTAGGACGGAAATGGAAAAAGCAATATTTTTTTTCAATTTCAACTTTTTTTTTAAAACTTGCAGACAGAACAGAGGTGAAGATCAAGGGCAGGAAGGTCCGACTGCCCTTCTTTCCATTAAACTGGGTCTCAGGCAGTATGAGTACAGTACAGAGCAGCAGTGGCCCATATTCCAAATATAGAAGTCCTTCTTTCAGATTGAATTGAAACCGGGTGAAATGGCTTGTGTGGCTGGACAACCTCAGGTCCTTGGCCTTATTTTTTTTTCTTCTTTTTAACACCCTGTGCAGTCTGGTTATCAGGTTTCATCAACTCAATTTACAGTGTAGACTTCAAAAAGAGACGAGTTTCAGTAAATTGATCATATCTCTGTAATTTGTGCCGTTTGAGATGAGATCCAGTAAATTTGGGGTAGTGAGCTCCTGCAGGATCATTTCTGACCTTCTCTAGAGAAGGACACATCAACTGGGGTGGGAGGCTCAGGGGGGGTGGGATTGCAGGAATTTGACACGCATGCAATGAGATGTCACCAATAACTTGAAGCAACAACTTGCTGCTGCGACAAGAGTTTTAACTTGGCATGAGACGTAAAAGGCAACAGAGCTTTTCAGCCTTTTCACCAAGTCACCTTGCATGCTACAACTCAGCGAGTGTGTGTGTCAGTGGGAGTGTGTGTGGAAAGTATTTGAAGAATTAATTTTTAAAACCATTTACTTAAAGAGACAGCTCAGAGATTTTGACTATTTGGATCCTGGCTGAAAAATTCTTGCATGAGACGCTTTTAGCTTTCCAGCAACATAAAACCCTTAAATATGTTTAGTAAGATTTTTGATTCCAGCTTTTAGATTTTTTTTATATATCTATATCTGAATATTTAGCAATCACAATTAAATTTGGTAGTCTGCATTTTGAAAAGAAATATAAAAAAAAAATGTTTGTTTTTACTGGTTAACTTTCAATTTTGCAGTTTTTTTTATTAAAAAAAGCTGTTTGTATTTTAAATTGTAAATTCTTTAAAAGTTACTTTTATACCACACACATCTTAAGCCTTTAATATCTTGAATCCAAAAGACATTATATAATTGTAAAGTTTTATCATGAGAGTAAAAAGAGCCATTATTGTGAAATATTCAGCTTTTGGTTATTTATATATTTCGAAAAATACTAAATATACTAAATCTCTATTCAACCTTGACTCTTAAGATAAAAATATAATAATAGATAAAAGATCCCAGTCCCCATGGGAATATGCTTTTCTTATTTATGTAATAGCAATACCTAACAAAATGTTCCATATTTGAAGATCAAATTTGACTGGAAGACAATTCTTTAAATTTACTTCATTTCAGTTTGCACAATGCTCTTCTGGCTGTGATTGGTTGGTTGTGTTGTGTGGATGTCACCTGCAGGCTCGTTGACACTGCTGCTGATCACTAACTGATCACCACTCTGATGTGGGGTTAAACTTGGCCCCCCTTTAAACTCCGTCCTCTTCCTGTCTCTCCACCAGTCCACTGTCCCACAGCCCACCTTCCCGATGCCAGTCACCGTGCCAGTGACCAATCAGAATGCAGCGGCGGCCCTCCAGTTCAGCAACAATCCCGCCGGTGCGCTGGTCACCACCACTTCCTTCGTCACCTCCACCCTCACAGATCCCCGCCTCTTGTCACCACAGCAACAGCCTCTGCAGAGGAACACCGTGTCGCCAGGGTTACCGCAACGACCGGCCAGCGCAGGTAAGAAAACATGTGGAACACAGCTGGAAAGCTTTGGTTCCTCTGTCTCCTCACAGTTCAACTGTGGTTGCATTGATCAATAAGCTGTGGCCTTTTCAGATAGGGAGACTTCCTGTTTCAATAACAGCTGTTGATTGATCAGTTTGAGGATTAGTAGCTTTTTATTTACAGTTCCTCTTCCAGGGAGACTATTTTTCTTTCTTGGAACACAGTTTCTCATGAATCTTCTGTAATATTAGCTTATGACACACAGGAAGAGATTAGAAGATTTCAAAACTTCCTCTGAATAAGAAGAGAAGAAATCATCAAAGTTGGTTTCAACATAAGAGGACAATGTCCATAAATGGAGACGCATTTTGTTTTATTAGACTTTCTCCATGTTTATAAGCCACTGTATGATCATTTTGAATTATTACGCATTTCTACATTCGGTAAGGCTGGTTGCCTCTGGTGTCTTGTTTAAGCTGACAGGTTCAGGCTGAGTAACACACTAACAAATAAAGAAAAAAAGCTACATGACCTTACATTGGCTGTAAGCCAAGATCCTCAAAATTAATGGAAATTAATGCAACAGATACCTCACTTTGTATGTCATGAATTTCTATAACATAGAAGTTTTTTCATGAAATAATTAAACTTTTTGATGATTCCCTAATTCATCTGGATGCATATTTATATGTTCAAGCTACACTGTCTCTCTGTTGGTTGTCATGATTTTCATATTTGTTCCTTTTAACATTTTTGCCCAAAGCAATCAGTTTGCATATCGGTCTTCCACACGTCAAAGTCCTGATTCCTTAATGACTCCGTTAATTGAAGTGATTTGATCCACCTTAAGCAGACACAGTTGTCATGGTGATTTTGAGACTTAAAGTATTTTTCATTAAGCTCACTTTCTGTGGAGCCACAGTTTATGCATAAACCGGTGAATTTTCAGAGTAGGCAGGAACCATGTCTGCGTGCAGATGTTCCGTTCAGCTGTCTGTGTATTTTTCTCTCAAACAAGAACACACTTCTCATAACAGCATAAATCCAGAATTTCTTTGACTGACGTCGGCGCACCGCTGCATGCACGCACTTTGTCTGTGGAGGGAACCAATCCTTCTGACTAAAAGGATTTGTGTCCCATTTTTGCATCTCAGACAGGGTTACCTACCAAGCTTTGTTCCGACCGGCGTAATCTCATTGTAAGTCAGAATTAGGTGATGTAACGTGCAACAAATGTATTACAGCATCTTTCATAACATGGCAATCTGTGAAAAGAGTGAGTTTCATGTAATACTCGTAGATGCCCCGCTGCACTCCCACTTCCCCATTTATTTACAGCTTCAGAAGCTGAAAAGACTCCTAAACATTTGGCTTACTGTCTTTTTTCAAATTAAGAAGATAATGTTTTTGTGACATCTTTGAATATTGCAAAGGCAATCTCAATTGCGGTGAAGGCATCTTTCTTCTTTTATTTATTTATTTATTTATTTATTTATTTGTTTATTTATTTTCCTGTTATCGTGATCCCATCACTGTCCATGAGCATCTGGGTCACTAAAATCAGCATCAAGAGCAATGAATGACCATCCAGCTGGCTGACATGGAGAGCAGAAATTACCTACCAGATGCTGCATCCAAACTGTCCTTTCCGACTACAGTTTTTCACATATTTATAGTACAGTATCAAATGAAATGTAATATTGTGCAGGTCAAAATATGTCTGGTATTTTCTGTCATAATAGAAATAATTTTAATCTAAAATTGAAAATTCTCTGGGAATGAAGAGCTGTTCAGAATAATAATTTTATCTGAATACCTTATTTTTTGGACTTTAAACCGCTACTTTTTTCCCACACTTTGAACCATGCGGTTTATAGCCCAGTGCAGCTTTTCTGTGGATTTTTCTTCAACCACCAGGGGGCTCTTTAGCAAGAAGTGAATCGTTGGAAGTCAAAATTGGAAATCAAAGAAGAGCGAGCTGATTTTAATTTAGAACAAGCACATGCTAGCAGCAGGCACAACGGAGAAATGTCTTCAAACTCACACCCGCTCATCATGGAAACCACACGAAGAAGTTCATGTGATTCCGCTTTAAAGTTGAAGACAGATCGATAGCCGCTGCACGTAAGCTCATGAACGAATCCATGGTTGGAGATGCAGGGCTGCATCCTTAATAGCAGATTTATTAAGGACGTAGTCCTCTGCAGCATCCATGTGGAAAACCGAGAGCAGCGGAGATACCAGCGGCTATAGCTTGGTGTGGCTTATATGTATGTTTTCAGGTTTTTTTTTTACTTTGTGGGTGCGACATATATATATGTTTCCAGTTTTTATGTTTTTTATTTTATTTTTTTTAAACTTTGTGGGTGCAGCTTATATAAAGTGCAGTCTATAGTCCGGAAAATACGGTAATAGTAAAAACGGTGTAATAGTAAACAGAACATGATGAAATACTTTCAAATACGTATTTCATCATGTTTTTGTTAATGTTTTTGTTGATGTTTGTTTATTGTATTATAGAAATGATTTAGGTGGTTATGAAATTGAAAGTTGCTGAAGCAGATTTAACCAGGTGAAACTTTTTATTGAAGCCATGTTGTTGGGATCTATATATGAAGCAAAAGTCAGTTTGAACAAATCACACAACCATATAAACTGCATACATTGCAGTTGATCCTAGTAATCAAACAATCCACCAAGTTCAGTTTATTCTTTAAATTGGCTAAAACATTTTCAGACTAAAGAAACCCAGCAGATTTCATCAAGTCATTCACTTCCAGCATTCATTGATACGAAATGAGTGTTTTGCAACAGTACACAGTCGCTTGCATTAAGTTTTTGAATTTCTTCATACTGAGTATGGATGTAGTGAAAGAATGAAAGAAAACTCCCCTTTAACAGGAAGAAACCTGGAGCAGAACCAATACCTGGCACAGAATTAATGGACAGAGCAGAACCAACTCTAGTTATAATGTTATCTCTTTAGCATTTGCATTACAATTTGTAAAGGAGAATAAATCTGTCCTTGTCAAAACAATAACAAAAAACTCATGAGAACTTTATTTTGCGATTTTGAATTTCACAAGAACATTTGATCCATTCAATATTTCACACTGACATTTAGGTCTAATATGTTGTTCAAATAGAAAAAAGTCAATTTTTTATGACTTTAGTTACTGTGTGTAACTAAGTGTAACATAAGTATCATTGAGATTTGATGAAACCAGCACTTTAACTAGAAATGCAGCATTGAGGCCAATTAAGGAGCTTTAGAGAGGAAACGGTCGACGCCAGCAGAAACACTTTTTTTAATGACACACTTGATTTAATGATATTATTTCAAAGTGGATGTTCATCAGTTTTTAGGTTGTTCAGATATACTCCTTCATCTGAGATCTTTTTCATGGTTTTTATGGGTTTCTTTTTTCTGTGCTAGGTGCAATGTTAGGAGGAGATTTGGGGAACTCAAACGGAGCGTGCCCGAGTCCAGTTCGTAAGTAAATCTATTCCTTTCTCAAAAATCATACAAATGACTATTTCACACCGCAACAAACACACAGCTGCACACCAGACACTATTGTTTCTTTTTATCTTTTGAACTTTTAAAAAGCTATATTTCTTTAGTTGGGTTTGTGAGGAGAACAGTGCAGATCGTTTCTGTGTGGCAACAGCCTCACAGTCGCCTTCACAGGCTTATACACAGGCACGTAAGCACCTGTTGACTGGTGACAGCTGGGGGTCACAGCACAAGCTGCTTGTAAACAGTCCAAAGAACAGAGAGGGTTTCAGGTTATAAGACAGTCCATGACTAAGAGAAAAAAAGAGGAAAAGAAACCAATAAAATTCCAACGAAGCTAGTGCAGGTTTCCTCAGCTGGCCTTCTGTTGTTTCTCTATTCACAGTTGGAAGCCTCAACATTTTTTAGTATATTCTGAAAGTGTTTAAATCACTACGCCAGTCGGGAGGCGGACACCTGCTCCAGATCAAATCCACCATGAATGTGAGATCAACATTTCATTCCTGGCAGTGGTTTTCTGTCAGACATGTCAGCCTCCTTTAGGTCCACAGCTCCACCCAGATAAATCAAGTATTGCTAATTAGTGGAAATATTTCTGCAATTTAGATTTTTTACGAAAAATGCATTTGAAATCGGATTTTGGGTTTTTGGAGAGTAAAATTGATCTGTCAGCTGACTGGTTGCTTTCACAGTATTTGTACATTTGATATGTGACTTTATATTATCTCAAGCAGCCATATAAATTAGCTTTTCTCATTTTTTTTTTCTGCTTTTAGTTCCTTTTAGAGTACTCTTAAGCACTGAGTAGTCAGTCTGGGTTTTTCCCTGTATGTAAAGTTAGTGAAACTGACCATTAGAAAATAAATGGAAATGCAGAAGTGAAATAGTTCTTCACATGTAATTTAAATTTCCACTCATCAGGGAAAGACACTTGAAAAAGGAAAAATTATTTTTTTTTTTTCAAGGGAATGAAAGTATCTAAAATATTCACCAACAGTGCTGTAAAATTGACTCGCTCCACAGATTTTGTTCAGTTTTGTTTTTTTTGTTTTTTTTATTGTAAAACAAAAATATTCATAGAAAAACCAAACATGTTGAAAAAAATCACCCCTTTGATAAATTGGGAGTTAATCATATTTTTTTTGGAATGCTAACTTTAATTTTTCTCAACATAACAAGGTTTGATTGCTGCCAAACCTGCAGGATATCATTTAAGTAGAGTCTGTCTGACAACATGAAGAAGGATCTCAAAAAGCAACACGACAAAGTTTGACCAAGAGAAATTCTAAACCAGATGAAAAAGAAAGTCAGTAAACGTACATCAGTCCTGAAATGCATGAAGCCACTTCAAGTGGACAGACTTTCAAAATGGTTCCAGGTGAATATTGATGACTCAACTAAATTTCAAAACATTACACACAACTGAATGACTGGAACAAGTGGCTTACTTAAAGTCTGAAAGTCCTGTCATACTTGTATAAACAGCAGTTTGGTAGAATTAAAACAGACCAGTAAGAAGAGTTGGTCAGAATAAACTGGTCTAATAAATCAACTTGGAAAAAAGAAGCAGTTTTAAATGAGAATGCTGCCAAATTCATAAACTACTCGCTGCGTTGGCCACGCTTGGCTCAAAGTTTCCTCCAACTGATGAAAAAGCTTTCTAATGTTTACTTTTTTGACACTCATAGTTAACAATCTGCGTAACCATTTACACGTCCGCTGCTTTCCCTCTTTATTTATCTACTCTTCTCCTCCCTCTCACTACACCTCCCCCTTTCATCCCGTCTCTCTCAGCTGTTCCCCCTCGTCTTCATTCTGGAATAATCTCCCACCCGTCCCCGCCCCCCACCATCTAGCAGTCCCTTGTCTTGGCACAGGACTCTCCTCAGAGGTGACTTTGACACTGGCCAGAGCTCTCCTCTTAAATCCCATTAGTTTGGACAGATACTGCCAGCTACATCCCACAGTAATGGATACGGGGCGAGGGTGCTCTTTTTTTCTGGATTCACTTGACAGCATTATTTCTCTCATGTTACAGGGAGCCAAAAATAAATCAATACATTCAAATTAACGTCACTTACCTTTTCTTTGGGGTAACAGTGCTTCATCGGGATGAGATGATTCATGATACCAGGTCCAGAAGGATGAGGCAAAACATGGTTTTATTAAACATTTTCAGATAAACTAATTTTCTTTGCACAGAGTAAAGATTACAAAAATTACAGTGAAGCTCCAGCCAGCTTCAGTACTCTGATCTGATCTTTTTTTTAAACAGATTTTTTTTTTTTTTCCTACAATCAAAAAACGGTAATACTTCTGTTGTACCAGTAGGTGGTGAAAATCAGAATTCAATGATAGACTATGCTAATTATGACTCAAGCTATAGCTAGGCTAGCAACTCTGCCAAAAAAAATTCAATGAAAATTTTTTAGCATCTATTATAGAGGCAGGAACCAGAGAGGTAGGTATGAAATATCTAATAGAAAAACTACTCAGTTGTTTTTTTTCTGGCACAGAAAGCGAGAATTGACATGCATGTGCAAAGTGGGCCTCATTGTTTTCAAAATATTTGGCTATCCAGCATGGATGTGTGACACTAGGTACGTTTATTTTTTTCTTTTTAAATTTTGGTTCTGTTTTTTTCCTCAACAAAGAGATTTGGCAAATACCCAGGAAGTGCAAATTAACAGGAAGTCTTTATTTTGCATAGCACCCATCTTTTTTGTGGAGAGAGCCTTAAAGAATCTTTATTCAGTATCAAATGGTCCAGCCATATGCTATGTTTTCTATGGTTGTCAAATGATATTGTGTAAAAGAAGTCTTGAAACACTCCTTGGTGTCATATTTGACTTGAAAGTTTCTTAAATCTCAAAAAGTGTTTTGAAAATCTTTGTGTAAAATGATCCATTTCAGATTTTGATCTTGAACTATTTGAGATTTTGAAGATCAAATTGAAATTTGTGAAATAGCCCATAATTTGGTGGCATCAGGATTCAGAAGCTAACTTTGGTATCGTAGCAGCTAACAGCCACCAGTTTTTATTGCTGGCTGTTGAATAGATGAATGTTCATCCATTCCTGCTTGTCCTTCCAGGGGTGCAGGGAGCTGTTGAATTAGGTGAGAGTTTCGGTGCCCCCCAGTGGAGGCCATCAGTGCATCAGAGACACACAACCAGGCACACGCACTTACACTTAAGGACATTAGATAAACCAATTAATCAAAAAATAATGTTTTCAGACTGTTGGGGAAACCTGGAGTACCCAGAGAGAATCTATGCATGCAAAGGGAGAAGATTCAAACTCCATACAGAAAGACTCTGGATTTGAACCCAGGACCATGTTACTGCAAAGCATCACTGCAGACTGTTCCAGCCTATCTCCAACCAAGTCCCAAAAATTGACTCAAGAATGTCATAGTTTATTAGATATTTGGGATAGATTTAACCGTGTGCTTCTGCTGCTGATGGCTGTGTTTTAGTCTAAATGCTCTCCCCGTGATCCCTCCAGGTTGCTATAATTATGTCACAACATAGTTGTCTATCAACATCTCAAACGTTATCTGAGGTAACCTGATCCTCCCAGACGGCCGGCCACTCTCCTTTTGCACTCATCCACTCTCCACTTTTATCGCAGTTTTCATTACCTCCTCTTGCATTTTAACTTTTTTCCTCCCCTTTTTCATTCTTTCTTTTTAACCTTTTTGCACAATGTATTTTTGTCCTCTCTGATGCTTTTTCCTTCATTATTTATGCCTCTCTCTTTCTGTCATGTCCTTTCTCCAGTCATGTCTTATTCTCACCCCTTTTAGTCTTACTTTTGCCTTTTTTTCCTCTTCTTCCCTAATCCTGTCTTCACCCTCCTCCTGTCATCCCTTCTTACCTCCTCTTTCTCCTGTTCTCTTGGATGTGCCGGTCTCAGCTGTTGTCCAGGGAGTAAGAGCTCAGGGAATGTCACCATTGACGTCATGCAGCATTCCACACATTCCCACGCCCGGCCTCGCGTAATGGGAGACGTGACACACATGCTTGCACACACAGAGGGTACCGACACATGTACACTCATATTCTAAGAAGAACACATGTTAAGGCTACAAGGAAATGCATCAACACGGGCAATTTAGATGAATGAAAGCCACAAACATTTTAAAGTCTTTCAGGGACTCACTCAGCAGGACGCAGCTGCACGCATAAAGACACACACAGCGTAAATCAGCTCATAATCCAGCATGAACCTCCATGTATAATCAAGCAAGAAACTGCAATTATCTTTTTTTTTTTTCCAACAGTCTGCTCTCATTTTATATAAAAGATTTAAAGTCTGATGATTTTGGTTTTCTGCAGAAAATTAAAAAAGGAGGAGACATGCAACATGGGTCATTAGTTCAGTTTAAATCAGGAGTACTCCAGTAATGTGGCATGTGCTGGAACCATTGGGTACCACAGGCACCACTAGCGCCATCTGTTAGTGCAGATGCTCGTCTATATTGTCCCATTGGTCCTCAGAGTTCTGCTTTAATGTCGGCATTGAAATAAAGTTAATTAAATTTCAGCAGCAAGGTTCTTAAAACTAATAAATGAAACTGCATTGAACATGTACAGTATGCAAACTGCTAACAGATTGATTATAATCAGGCTTTTGCCACATCTACAACTCCACATTTACTGTTATGGGATCCTGAAGCAAAACCAAACAGTCAGCTGTTGCTATGAAATGACTTTATATTTGCAGGAAAGTGAACTTTTCTGTACAGAAAATAACCATATAGTTGCACTTATTTTTCCAGTACATTTCTCTTTCCATCCATGCATTGTCTGTGCCCGCTTAGGGTGAGAGACGAGTGCATCACAGGGCAACACAGAGACACACAGGACAAAAAACCATGCTTACACACTCTTACTTTAGGACAGTTTAGAGGCCAGTCAACCTAATTGCCTGGATTGGCAAGAGCACTCAGAGAGAACCCATACATGTGTATGG